CACACCCGTGCCAGGGACTGCCCAGCCGCTGTTAGCACGGCTAGTTCAACCATGCCGCAGCCAGTCAGGTAGCGCCTGCACGCGCAGCCTCGGCAGGCCTGCCGGCCGAGTCAGCGCCTGACCGCCCGGTTCAGCAGACCGGTTCAGCCCGGTTCAGCCTATATTTTGTTGTTTAGGTCCCGATTCTTGATTTCAGTACCATTTTCAGTTAAAATTCCGGGTCCAGTTCAGTTCAGTAAATTAATATCAGTTCAGTTTCGTATTTCACCGGTTCCAGTTATACCGATTAAATCCAAATATCATGTTGAGTCTAGTAGAGCATCTTAACATAATTAATCAGTTAATTTATCAGTCTGAGCATAGTCCTTAGTAATTGTTTATATTATATTTCAGTTTGATCAGGCATCAGCACTACCTTCATTTTCACGGATCAGGTGGGGACTCAGACTAAGTACTATATTGATTATAACTATGCTACCATGTTTGAGGTATGTATTATCAGTATCCGCTCGTAATGGTCGCCGGTCCATTCTGTGTTCTAGTGGCCCTAATATGCCCATTAGAGTGTGCACATGTTGTCCGGTATTAGTTTGTGCCGACAGATGTTCAGTTATCAGTCAGGTGATTTATATCACGAGATCAGTATCAGATTATTCAGTACCGGTATCAGTTATCAGTTCAGTTTCAGTTCAGTTATATATACTAGGATCATGATATTGTTATTATTTTCACTGTTTTACTTTAGTATGAGTTTCTGCGGAGCACAGTGTTTTAGTGCTCACGCCCCCACGTATTTCATGTTTTCAGGTCACCGAGTCGGGGACGAGGAGTGAGCTGACGAGCTGTTCAGGATATTTGTTGATATGTATATATATGTTTTGGCTACAGTACTATTCTGCTACAGTTTTCAGTACTTTAACTCAACTTGTGATCTGACACTAGTCGGTTAATATATTTATAACCGTTTTATTATCAGATTAAAATTAACGGTTTTTCAGATAAAAGTCAGATTTTCACGGTAACACTCCGAACCAGATTTCGCAAAAACGAATATTTTATTTACTTTATTTAAAAAATTTGCGAAAAAGCGTACTCTGATTTCAGTAAAATAGCGGGGTGTTACAATTGGTATCAGAGCACGTTTCTGCGTCTCTAAAAAGTTTTATAAGTCAGAAATTTTCAGAAAAACCTGAACCGTCACGCTCACGCCTCGCTGACTACAGATAAGTGCTGATTTATGTTTTCAGTTATAAACATATTACTTTGCCTATGTTTAGAAATTATTAATAATGACTTAGTTAAGATGCTCGAATTAGGATTAGACCTTAGAATTCAGTGTACTCAGATATAACTCTAGATTTCTTCAGGATTCATGTCAGTATTTCCCAGCCATATTTGGCAACTCGTCAAGAGATTTGTGTACTTTAGTAATCAATTAAAGTATTTATCATGTGTTCAATAATCTTGAACTTCATTAATGTTCAGATGCTGCCCCGTAGCCAACCAGATCACCCAGTTCTTCCCCAAGCCACAGTAGTCGCACAATTCCGCGACTATCATGCTGAGAAATTCTCCGGGCAGGGAGACCCTCATAACGTAGACGAGTGGATTCAGGGCCTTGAGTTGATCTTCGAGGTCAGGGATTGTCCAGACATATATCGTGTTATTTGCGCTCAGCTTCAGCTAACCGGCGATGCCCGTCTCTGGTGGAATGCCTACTGGAGCATGCGTCCCGGCGAGAAGGAGGGATGTACATGGGATAGGCTCAAGGAGCTGATCCGCGAGAAGTACTACCCCACCTATTACAGAGCAGAGATGGAGCGGCAGTTCCTGTCGCTCAAACAGGGTACTCGTTCTGTTGACGAGTACGAGAGAGAGTTTACCAGACTTGCAGCTTTTGTTCCGGACCTGGTTCGTACGGAGGCACAGAGGGCACAACGCTTTATTGATGGGCTTTACCCAGCAGTCCGTCACAACATTGTAGGTCACGGGACCCAGACGTATGCTCGTGCCGTTTCCATTACCCAGGGGGTAGACGCCAGCATCAGGAGGGAGGCCATCCGTGATCGTCCTCAGCCATCCGCCCCTGCCCAGTCATCCACAGCTCCACCAACCCTACCAGCTGCCCAGCCGACGAAGGAGAAGAAGAGGAAGGGGAAAGGTGCCCCGATGGACAAGAGGACCCGGCGGAGGCTACAACAGATTCCACCGTGCCCCACATGCGGACGTCTTTACTGAGGCGAGTGTCGCTTCGGCCAGGATATATACTATTACTGTCATGAGCCCGGACACTTTGCTAACCGTTGTCCGAAGAAGGCACAGCAGCCTCCACAGCAGCCTCAGCAGCCACCGCAGCAGCAGCAGCCCCGTCAGCAGGCTCAGAGGCCGCCACAGCAGCAGCAGCAGAGGGGCAGACAGCATGCCCGAGTCTACGCAGTGGATCAGGTTGAGGCCGAGCAGCAGCCAGTTACAAGGGATGATCATGCTTAATAATGTTCTTGTGCTTGCTTTATTCGATACTGGAGCGGCGCACTCCTTTATTTCACGACGATGTCTTGATGCCATCGGAGTTCATGCCATTACCGTTGTCAATCCTTTCGAGGTGAGTCTAGCCTCGGGACAGAAGATAGTGACTTCAGCTAAAGCTTCAGATCTCAGCCTTTCCATCGGTGGTCGTTCATTGTCTGCCGACGCGTATGTTCTTGAGATGAGGGACTTTGACCTCATTCTCGGGATGGATTGGCTATCCTTTTATCATACAGATATCCGATGTCATGACCGGGAGATTACTCTCTATCTTCCGGGAGACGATTCGATTACTTTCTTTGGTACCAGGAATCGTTCATTACCTCATGTCGTTTCAATGGCGAAAGCTACCAAGTTGCTGCGACGAGGCAACTGCCATGGTTATCTGGTGAGCCTTGTTGATGATTCTCAGAAAGCACGATCACCTCACGATGTTCCAATTGTTCGTGAGTTTGTGGACGTGTTCCCAGACGAGCTTCCAGGAGGACCACCTAACCGGCAGGTGGAGTTCTCTATCGATCTCATTCCAGGAGCCGGCCAAGTCTCCAAATCCCCATACCGTATGGTGCCGAAGGAGTTGCAGGAGCTTAAGGTACAGATTCAGGAGCTATTACGACTCGGTTTCATCCGACCAAGCGTGTCACCTTGGGGAGCACCCGTTCTCTTTGTCAAGAAGAAGGACGGATCCATGCGCATGTGTATCGACTACCGGGATCTTAATCGGTTGATGATTAAGGACAAGTATCCGCTTCCCAGGATCGACGATTTATTTGATCAGTTGAGGAGAGCCTGTGTGTTCTCAAAGATTGATTTACGATCAGGCTACCACCAGCTGAAGATTAAGGAGTCAGATATTGCTAAGACCACTTTCAGGACTCGTTACGGCCATTACGAGTTCGTCGTCATGCCATTTGGCCTCAGTAAAGCTCCAGCAGTTTTCATGGACCTGATGAACCGTATTTTCCATCCCTACCTCGATCAGTTTTTTATTGTCTTTATTGACGATATTTTTATCTACTCGAAGAGCCAGAAGGAGCACGAGGAGCATCTGAGGGTGGTTCTCGAAACCCTTAGACGAGAAAAGTTGTATGCCAAATTCTCCAAATGCGAGTTCTGGCTCCAGCGAGTAGCTTTTCTGGGTCATGTGATTACTCAGGCAGGTATCGAGGTGGATCCTTCTAAGGTCTCAGCTGTTCAGAATTGGTCGAAACCGAAGAGTCCATCCGAGGTTCCCAGTTTTCTCGGTTTAGCTGGCTACTATCGCAGGTTTATCGAGGGCTTTTCCAAGATTTCCCTCCCACTATCCCAGCTGACGAGGAAGTCTGTGAAGTTCGAGTGGACTGACCAATGTGAGTCGAGCTTCCAGGAGCTCAAGAAGAGATTAACTTCAGCACCGGTGTTGACTATTCCTGATCCTTCTCGGAGTTTCACCATTTTAAGTGATGCTTCGAAGCAGGGACTGAGATGTGTACTCATGCAGGACGGCCAGGTCGTTGCTTATGCTTCACGTCGGCTCAAGCCGCATGAACAAAACTATCCGACGCACGACTTGGAGTTAGCCGCAGTTGTCCATGCACTCAAGATCTGGCGACACTACCTTTACGACGGTCGTTGCGAGATTTTCACAGATCATAAGATCCTGCAGTACATTTTCACGCAGAAGGAGCTTAACATGAGACAGCGCCGTTGGCTCGAGCTCGTCAAAGATTATGATTGCTCGATTCACTACCATCCGGGGAAGGCGAACGTCGTTGCTGACGCCCTAAGCCGAAAGGTAAGGGGTGACTTGACGTACGTTGTTACTCAGTAGAGTCCGTTGATTTAGAAGTTTGCCCGGATGCAGATTCAGGTGGTCGATGCACTTCCCACAGCTATTTTGGGGGGGTCAGTGCCAGTATCAGTGCCATGCAGATTCAGCCGACGCTGAGAGAGAGAATCCGGCGGGAGCAGGCTTCTGACGAGTTCGTTCGAGTCATGGAGGCCAAAGTCCGCGCCGGAGGCATCGAGGGTTTTCAGTTAGGTTCAGATGGAGCATTGGAGTTCAGGGGCAGGATCGTGGTCCCGAAAGTCGAGGCGTTGCGGAAGGAGATATTATCAGAGGCTCATACCGCACCGTATCTAGCCCATCCCAGGAGCACGAAGATGTATCATGACCTGAAAGGGTCGTTCTGGTGGCGAGGGATGAAGAAAGACGTTGTCGAGTTCGTCAGGAGATGTTTTACCTGTCAGCAAGTCAAAGCCGAACATCAAAGTCCGATCGGCCTCCTGCAACCACTGCCGATTCCGAGGTGGAAGTGGGAGGAAGTCACAATGGATTTCGTTACGGGATTACCAAGGTCGTCTGAACATCACGATGCTATTTGGGTCGTTGTCGACAGATTGACTAAGGTCGCTCATTTCTTACCCGTTTCGATGAAGATGTCTTTGGATAAGTTGGCTGAGATTTATACCAGTGGAATCATTCGACTCCACGGAGTGCCCGTTACTATCGTATCAGACAGAGATCCCAGATTCGTCAGTAGATTCTGGCATAGTTTACACGAGGCGATGGGCACGAAGCTAGAATTCAGTTCAGCCTACCATCCGGAGACTGATGGTCAGTCCGAGCGGACCATTCAGACGCTTGAAGATATGTTACGCGCTTTGGTTTTTGACAGGGGTGCTAAGTGGGAGTCGTTGTTGTTGTACGCTGAGTTTGCGTACAACAACAGCTATCATTCTTCTATTCAGATGGCTCCTTACGAGGCACTTTATGGTCGTAAGTGTCGTTCGCCTCTTTATTGGGACGACGTCGGAGAGCGACGAGTACTCGGTCCGAAGATGATCGAGAAGACAGCAGAACAGGTCAAGTTGATCCGGCAGAGACTCAAGACAGCTCAGAGTCGACAGAAATCTTCACTCGATCATCATCGACGAGACATTCAGTTCGAGGTTGGCGAGCAAGCTTTTCTAAGAGTTCGTCCTATTCGCGGAGTGGTTCGATTCGGGAAGAGAGGGAAGCTGCACCCTCAATTCATTGGCCCGTTCGAGGTTCTCGAGCGAGTAGGTGAAGTCGCGTATCGATTAGCCTTATCTCCCGAGCTATCAGGCATTCATAATGTTTTTCACGCATCTATGTTGCGTAAGTACGTGTGCGACCCCGATCATGTCATTCCTCATACAGATATTCAGGTTCAGTCAGATTTATCGTACGAGGAGCAACCAGTAGCTGTACTGGACCGTCAGGTTCGTCGGCTCCGGAAGAGAGATGTTCCCCTCGTGCGTATTCAGTGGGATCGCCACGGAGCTACTTGGGAGGCGGAGACTGACATTCGTGCTCGTTTTCCCGATTTCCAGTTTTGATGTACATATTTTATGTTTATGTACATATTTCATGTATATTCAGTTCATTTTGAATTTCCGAGGATGGAAGTTTTTAAGGAGGGAGGATTGTAATATCCCGTCAGATTAATAATATAAATCATGTTTTTAGTTCCGATATAATAATATTTTCGAGTATTATTTTCGGAATTAATTACTTTCAGTTGAGATTACCCGAAATTATTTTCGACGTCCCGTTTACGTTCGGAATAATTTTAGTAATTAAGCATTATGTTTAATTAAATAATTAAGCATTTAGTTATGCTTAATTAAATGATTAATCATGCCTAGCATTGAAATGCCGTGGGCATTATGATTAAAGCCATGCAAAATTTATATATTTTTTTTTAATAATGCCGTAGGCATTTTTCTTCAAACAAGGGAAATCTCCTCTTTAGTTTAGCATGAGGTGGCAAGGACTAAGGTTGAATAGTCATCCTTTGGTCTCTAGCTAGCCTCCAAGTGTCAAGCAAGTTTTGAGCCATCAAATCAACACCTCATCTTTTTTTTTTTTTTCTTTCGGCTAGTATATAAGGGGGGATATTGGAGCAAATTTTCCCCATCATCTTACAGCATATATATATTAAGTCTTACTACAAAGAAGAGTTTAGTGAGGAGAGTTAAGAGAATTTTCTAAGAAAGAAGCACGCACGCCACCCGCCGAGAACAACGCACACGCATGGAGGCTTTGATTATCCCGATCAGTTAGTGCGATCAGTCGAGGGGTCAAGAAGGTAACTTTGTTTTACCTTGAGTTATGTTAGCTCCGGTTTTGCTATGATCTTGTTCATGATACGGCTTAAGCCGTTTGTGCGTGCGTATAGTCCATTTAGAGCATGTCATGTTTTAATTCAAATATCTCAAGCAAGCCTTATGTATTCAGCCATGTCATGCAATATTATGCCAGTTAACTTCATATTGCGCGAACAAGTTTCACGATTTATTGGTGTTAGGGCCGAAGGGCGTGGTCGCGCACGTAGCGCGCACCACGGGCCGTACATGCGTATCGAGTATGTTAAGTATAATCCCTCGAGCATTTCATGTTATTTTGTTCAGTAAATTATGTTTCATGTTCAGTTGTGTATAAGTTGCCGAGAAAAGATCAAGTTCGGTCATGAAATGGCTTAACGCAGTCGGCGGCGCACGGTGCGCACGCCACGGCCGTGTTCAGTTTTATGTGCAAATTTCATGATTTTAAGTAAATTCA